AATGATAATTGGATACCTTTCCAGATGTATTTTCTTTGGTAGCCCATTCTGGCAAAGCTGAATGACAAGCGGGGACCAAATGGCTTGAGTATCATTGAATGTGTGACATTGTGGTGACCTCGACTCCAGTCTGCGGAATTACCTGATTCATTTAAGGGGGAATGTTCGGAAAGCCACCTGAATTTGCTGACCTTCCAACCCGAAGGCAGACGGGGCAAGAAAATTTATGAATGCCGTTGAATAAATATTCCCAAGAGTAACACCGTTCCAAATGGTCCTCGGCATTCCCATAAATCCGTAATCATAAATTGGCAAGTCTTAAACTTCTCAAGGCAGTAGTGTTCGACATTTTCGGCTCCTGCGTACATTTCATAATGCAAATCACCAACTAATGAACCTTAAAGGTTAATACAATAGGTCTTTGATTTCTTCGGAATCATACAGTTACCTCTAAGTTTTCGCTTAGCATGTAAAACAATGAGGGCTTTCAAATCGCGTTATTCTCTGCTCTCTATTTCTTTGTCGACTTGTTCCTCTGAATGACTAACTCTTAAACCTTATCACGAATAATTTACACATCAGTACTTTCAAAATGTTACACCAGTGATCGAATGGACTTCGACCCTTACTTAATTCTTCTATTCTCGATCTGCTTTCAAGGATAAATGATAAATGACCAGCCGATAAACCTCCTTGTTGTCAAGTTTCTCGGCACATGTGTTTCGCAGATCTTCCGATAATCATATAGCCTGTAAAAAATTAGCAGAGACTGCATAAAAGGGGTTGAAAATCATGCTGTGTTCCGTTCTTCCCGCTTTATTGTTTCCATGTAAATGTACAGCGTTGAACACCAAGCCAAGCTGAACTGATCACCTGTATATTCGAATCTGGCAAAAATGGCATCGGCATTTACGACCACTTCATATTTTTCTTTTCATTTAAAGATTATCGTTTCGTGGCGAAGAAAAACCTTTCCGTTTTACTTTATTTGGTGATGACGACTTCGATGAAGCGAATTTAATGGATCATCAAGTTTCGAAGAGAGACTCTCGGCGTTCAGCACTCGATCATTTTTTTTGCTAAGCCACTTAGGCAGAAAATCTTGTTCTCAACGTAAAACAAGGTCATAGCCGACTTGTTCTCAAATCACGGAAAAGGTGAAGAGTGAACCCGTTTGTCAAAGAAGAGTTCAATTGTTCCGCCATCTGCCTATTTGCGCTGTGAGGCTAGACGAAAGCATCGGTATTGCGAAACAACATTCTACTGCACAGCTAGAGCCTGTCTGACAATTAAAAGAAAAGTACGCTTTTGTACGAAAAGCCAAATTAT